AAATTATAAATTGAACTTCAACTTAGAACTTGAACTTGAAATTAGAATTTGAACTTGAACTTAGAACTTGAATTTGAACTTAGAATTTGACTTGAACTTGAAATTAGAACTTGAACTTGAACTTAGAATTTGAAGTTAAACTTAGAACTTGAACTTGAACTAGAACTTGAACTTAAACTTAAACTTAGTTATTGAAGTTGAACTTAGAATTTGAACATGAACTTGAAATTAGAACTTGAACTTAGAATTAGAACTTGAACTTGAAATTATAAATTGAACTTGAACTTAGAACTTGAACTTTGAACTTGAACTTAGATTTTGACTTGAACTTAGAATTTGAAGTTAAACTTAGAAATTGATGTTGAAATTTGAACTTGAACTTGAACTTAGAATTAGAACTTGAACTTGAACTTGAACTTGAACTTATAATTAGAACTTGAACTTGAACTTAGAAATTGAACTTAAACTTAGAACTTAGAAATTGAATATTGAACTTAGATCTGCTCAAGATGCTATATGTGTGAACAAGAGGCTGAAGAAAATGGCCATTTACTTTTGCACTGCAGGATGGCTACAGATCTGTGGAACATGTTCATTTGTATACTCGGAGTTAGTTGGACAATGCCCAGAACCACTTTTGAGGTACTAACACGCTGGCAGAGAATTGGGAAGAGAGGATCAAAGGGAGATTGGTGGAAAAATGTACCTGCTTGCATTTGGTGGACACTATGGAAAGAAAGGAATGGTAGGTGCTTTGAAGGGAGGACTAGCAGTTCCCAGACGATCAAGATGAGATGCCTTAGTCTTTTGTTTTTTTGGTGTAAGCAAGATTTAGTGGGGGAAGTAGATAGTTTAGTGGAGTTTATAGGACAATTGTAAATTTTTGAAAATTTGGTTTTTTGTTTTTTGATTCGAAAATGATGGCACCCCTAGGGGGTTTGTAAATCCCTCCTCATCAATTTCTTGATGAGGTCTTTTGTGTGAATACAAAGTTACCTATTTAAAAAAAAAAACTATTGAATTTGTTAATTAGTGTATTGAATTAGAACTTGAACTTGAACTTGGTGCTTCTAAATTTCTAAAGTTCAAGTACAATTGTTTTCAATAATGTGTTTGTGTCCATCTAGTATTGATATTTAGCTTTAATTTTATGATAATATTTTTGTGTCCATTGATTGTTTGTTAAGCATGAGTACCAACACTAGTTGATTCTATTGATGACAAAATTGATTTTCTTGCAAAATCGATTGTGTCCATTTAGTGTTGACACTTAGCTTTAAATTTAAAAACAATATATTTGTTAAGCATAAGTACCAACACTAGTTGATCCTATTGATGACAAAATTGATTTTCTTGCAAGATCGATTTGTGTCCATCTAGTGTTGACACTTAGCTTTAAATTTAAAAATAATATATTTGTTAAGCATGAGTACCAACACTAGTTGATCCTATTGATGACAAAATTGATTTTCTTGCAAGATCGATTTGTGTCCATCTAGTGTTGACACTTAGCTTTAAATTTAGAAATAATATATTTGTTAAGCATGAGTACCAACACTAGTTGATCCTATTGATGACAAAATTGATTTTCTTGCAAGATCGATTTGTGTCCATCTAGTGTTGACACTTAGCTTTAAATTTAGAAATAATATACTTGTTAAGCATGAGTACCAACACTAGTTGATCCTATTGATGACAAAATTGATTTTCTTGCAAGATCGATTTGTGTCCATCTAGTGTTGACACTTAACTTTAAATTTAGAAATAAGTTAAATTAAAAAATGTGGTTTTGTTGATGGATTTAGTTGTTGGAATTAAGTCAAAACTAAACTAGTTAAAGTTGTTAAGTTGTTTAAATAAGTTAAATTAATTAATGTGGTTTAGTTGGTGGATTTAGTGTTGTATTAAGTCAAAACTAGTTCAAGTTATAAAGTTGTTAAGTTGTTTAAATAAGTTAAATTAATCAATGTGGTTTAGTTGGTGGATTTAGTGTTGTATTAAGTCAAAACTAGTTCAAGTTATAAAGTTGTTAAGTTGTTTAAATAAGTTAAATTAATTAATGTGGTTTAGTTGGTGGATTTAGTGTTGTATTAAGTCAAAACTAGTTCAAGTTATAAAATTGTTAAGTTGTTTAAATAAGTTAAATTAATCAATGTGGTTTAGTTGGTGGATTTAGTGTTGTATTAAGTCAAAACTAGTTCAAGTTATAAAGTTGTTAAGTTGTTTAAATAAGTTAAATTAATTAATGTGGTTTAGTTGGTGGATTTAGTGTTGTATTAAGTCAAAACTAAACTAGTTCAAGAGTTAAAGTTGTTTAAATAAGTTAAATTAATTAATGTGGTTTAGTTGGTGGATTTAGTGTTGTATTAAGTCAAAACTAAACTAGTTCAAGAGTTAAAGTTGTTTAAATTCAAGCTTTTAAATAAATAATTAGTTGATACATATATATCGTTATAAATTTCAGTTTTTATTTATAGGAAAAAGAATTGGGACGCACTCCCATTGAACCAGAGGTTTTCAAAAAGACTCATGTCAGGAAGAAAGAAAATGAGTCAGATCCGGATGTGTGGGTGGAGGAAAGGGCCTAACGAACTTTTGTAAGTTATTTAATATGAATAATATATATCAATAGTGAATATATTTATGATATGTATATATATTGATGTCAATATTTATATTTAATATGCAGAATGACTTTCATAAGTACGTCGCTGAGAATCTAGATAGTTCGGTTCAATTGACACCTGAACTGTCCACTCAGATTTGGAAAGAAAAAGTGGTAGGGGGGACACACAAGGGTAGATGTTATGGTCTAGGCTCTCGCAACGATGTTAGACGCCTTCAGTCAGGCTTAGAAGGTATTGGATCGTCATGTCAAGCTGAGGCACTTGACGGTGTTTAGATTGCTGCTATGTCGGATCAAATAACTAAACTTACAGCGGCACTAGCAGAGTCGAAGCGGAAAAGAGTAGCTGAACAACAAAGCATGAGTGAGACCGTTCAGCAAATCAAAGAACAAGTGATGAACCTCGCTCGTCGACCTACTACTTCGGCTCCCGATGACACCGACGACGAGAGTGATGAGGATAATTATGTAGATCTCACTCCCTAGTTTAGATCTCTGGATATTTATGAACTTTTTGAAATTTTAAAACGAATTTTAAAAGACTTTATAAGTCTTTAATTTATGATTTAAATACTTTTGAATGTTATTTTAAGTTTGTTATTTTATGTTTTGTTTAGACTGTTTATAATTGTGTGTGTTTGATTGGGCTGAATAGTATTGAATTTGCAGGTGGGCAGCAGAAGCTGAGATCTGCTACTGTCAAAAATATTGCATAAAAGCGACGGACAGCGTGGTTTAGTCCGTCGCTTTTTTGGGTTTTAATTTTTTTTTAAATCCAGAAAAGCGATGGACTGCGTGGTTTTTTCCGTCGCTTTATTAGGTTTTAAAAAAAAAAATCCATAAAAGCGACGGACAGCGTGGATTTTTCCGTCGCTTTTTTGGGTTTTTAAAAATAAAATTTCCAGAAAAGCGACAGACAGTGTCCTTTTATTCGTCGCTTTTCTAGGATTTTCAAAAAAATAAATTTCCAGAAAAGCGACAGACTGCGTCGCCCTTTAGAAATTTTTTAAAAAATTCAAAAAAATAAATAGTCGAAAAGCGACTCAGTCCGTCGCTAAAAGAGACACAGTCCGTCTCTAAAAGCGACGCAGTCCGTCGCTTTTTGAAAAGCGTCGAGCTAAAAAGCGACGGAAGTGACTGCGTTGCTTTTCCGTCGATTTTGACCAAAAAGCGACGCAGTCCGTCGCTTTTGGCCGTCGTTTTTTGACAATTTTTTAATAGTGAATTCCCATGTTGTTGTGTATTGCTCTTTGCATTTGATTAGTGGACTAGAGTACTATTGTACCAACCCAACCACTTAATACTTAATTTGGACTAAATTATTCAATTTTATGTTTGAAACTTTGTACAAGTCATATTGACCATTTAGGACTTGTTTGGGTGGGTTTTGATTGAGAAGTAAAACTAGATTTGGAAACTTTATTTGTTGCTTGTAAAGGGAGATTTTTCTATTAAAAATGTTGTTCTTCTTTGTTCATTTAGAAATTCTAGAATGAAATCAAATTAAAGATCTATCATTTTGCATGCAAGTGGAAGCTTGAATCCGGCATTTTGTGTAACAAGAAGGTACCAGTCAAGAACTCCTAGGTTCATAAAATGCAACTGGCAAAAATTGAGGATGTTGAGATGGATGTATGGGTATTCTTGGAGCGATAGGGTAAAGGAATCAAGATATTCGATACAAAGTAGGAGTGACCTTTGTGGTGGACAAAACGAGGGAAGGGAGACTGAGATTATTTAAGCATGTGAATAGGAGATGTGTGGATGCCGTTGTGTGAAGGTGTGAAAGGTTGGATATGGTGGGATCGAGGAGAGGCAGAGATAAGTTGAAGAGGTATTGAAGAGAAGTGATTAGACATGATATGACACATCTACAACTTTCCAAGAATATGACCTTAGATATGAGAATATGGAGGTCGCGAATAAGGGTAGAAGGTTAGTAGGTAGTTAAGAGCTGTCTTATTACTAGCCTACTCATATATTTGTCTTAGTGGTAGTATAAATCATCGTGGTGATCGTAGTATTAGCCTATTTATGTAGTCTTTGACTTTTGGTATTTGATATCACCTATTGATCATGTGTTTAGATAATCATACCCTTGTTGTTGTTGTTATGGTTCCTTCATATATGTTCCGTACTGCTTTGCTATTAGTTGTCATGCTTCTCTCCACTACCATTTTTTTAAATTACTGCTTTAATTTGCTTCAACCGAGGGTCTTTTGAAAACAACATCTCTACCTCATAAATGTAGTAGTAAGGTCTGCATACACTCTACCCTCCTCTCCACTCCCCAGACCCCACTTTCTAGGACTAGATATGATGTTGTTGTTGAATGATGCATGCAAGGTGAAGAGTAGTTATTTTTGCAAATGCATTGTGCAAGTAGATGTATTAATTTGTACTAAGATGCTTTATTATTAAAAGATACATAACAACCAAGAGAAAATACAAAATAAATGGATGACCAAGTGCACATAACTAATTGTATTGATTACACTTTCAATCCAAATTTCCAACTTTTCCAATCCTCAAGTAAATTGGATGAGTCACTTTTTTCTCACTCTTTCCATCTTCATTCCAAGCACTTGTGAATTTTTCAACAACATCTTCACTTAACAACTCAACACCCTTTTCTTTTGCAGTTTGATAAGCTGACCATGACTTCAAGTATGTAAAATAAGAATCCAAGTCCATAACTTTCTCAATCTTGAACTCAAATGGTCCATTATGATCACAACCATCTACAGCCTCAAATGGAAAATCAATTGTTTTGTACTTTTGATCAACCAATTTTCTTGGTGATTCCCAATAAGGTCCAGTATCACTAGTGTAAAATTTATCAAATATTACATCTACTGAGCTGTTTATTTCAGGTGTAGTGTAACACCATGCTGCTATTACTCCATTTGGTTTCTTGAGTAACCATTTAACATGTTCATAAAAAGTTGGAAGATCAAACCAATGCATTGCTTGAGCAATTGTTACCAAATCTACACTTGACTCTGCTCCTATTTTGGTTTCGATTTCGGATTTTGACATCTTAGGAGAGGTACATATGTATCGAACATTCGGAACCTTTGCTGCAAATTCAAGCTGCTTTGGACTTGTGTCTGTAGCTATCACATTCTTGTAAAGCTTAGCCAACTGAGGAAAACAATATTTTTGGAGCAAGTTAGGACAACTAAGTGATGAATGTTATTGAACACTTAAGTACTTCCTCTATTTCAATTTATGTAGCGGAGTTTGACACGTAAATGAAATTTATGCTATGATGGCCTAAAATGAACAGAAGTTCTAAATATAGAAAGGTGACGTTTTATTTAGAACAGATTAAATAAAAAAGTCATGTCATGGAACAGGGTCCTAAATTTCTTGTTTTTCCAGATGGACTATTTTGGAAAAAGAGAAAAACATTATGTCACTATCTAAAGAAACAGAGCACTTTACTGTTACTGTTTCCTATGAAACTATATTTATACCCACTCTGTTTAAAAATAAATGATTTAAATTTCTTTTTTGACAATACTTTAATTTTAGTTTTCTACATGACATGTTTAAGACTATAAGATTAAAGCACATTTTGATACATTTAATATAATTTTTTTAAATTCTATACCAAATCAAACTAAGTCATTCTTTTTTAGAAAAAAAAACAAAAAAATACTCATAATTCTAGCCCATGAAAGATCCGTCAATTGAACACTCTTTCGCCTGAAAATTACATTGTACATATATATCTTCAGGGTAGAGTTAGAATATTCACCGATAAGAGAATAAACATGTAGCATAGTTAATACAAATTTTCTTTTTTATGTAGTAATTTTTTTATTTTAACCCTCCCTGAATAAGGGTAGGTTAGATATTACTTTTTGTAGTTAAAAAAAATACCCTTAACGAAACTTTTGAGAAATAGAGACTTACAGATTGAGCAGCCTGGCCACTACCAGTACCAACATCCCAGACAAGATCATGAGAAGGTGTTTTAGAAGCAATGAAATTGAACAATTCTTGAGGGTAACTTGGCCTACCCTTTGAGTATTGTTGTGCTTGCTTAATGAACAAATTTGCCATTCTTTTTTTTAGTTAATGATGAACAACATTTATTTTAAATCATTGATCCCTTTAATATATGCTTAGATCAAGTAGAAAGAAGAAGAAAATTAGCATTTTGCTTGGTGTTGCGTGTTGCTTTTTGCCTTTCATCGGTGGCTTTGACAAAAACACCCATATTCTATATTGATTTGACTAATTCAAATTAGTATAAAACCTATTAAAAGCTAAAAATATTTTATATTAATAATATTAGATTTTTTAATTTTATAAGCCTATTAAATTAAAGGGAAGAATGCTTATACCAAATGGATTGAATTTTATTCAAAGGTGTATGCTATTTGGATTGAATCGAAAAATCAAATTCAATATTAATTTAGATTGGTTTTTTTTTTTGGTTTAATTTTAGATTTTATAATTTATGTTGTTCGGTTTGGTTATGGATAATATATACATAAAATATTTAGGTTTAGAATTAAATTGGAGTTAATCATTTTTGTCATTTTTAGGTTATTGCTTTTCATTATGATTTATTTTATAGTTTATGTTTCAACATCTATAATTAATATATTTTTAGGTATTGTATTTTAAATTTTACTTCTGATTTATACATTAAAAAGTATATTTAAAAGGTCCAAACTTATTACTACTTCTTCTTCTCTCTCTATATATATATATATAAAAAATTAATTATATTATTAATTATTGATGTAATAGAATGAAAACATCAAATTAAAAAAGGAAAAATCAAAATCAAATTAAATTTTATTTTAATTCGAATTGAATTATAAATTTTTTCATATATATAAAACCAAACGCTTCATACCAAAGAGATCAATTAAAAAAAAAAACAAAGAAGACAAACGATTAAATGCCTTGGGGACATGAAAGGGGGTAAAAGAGGAATCTGTCTACGTCATACATGAAGTATTTATTACACTCTCCGTTCACTGTTATTTGTCATATTGAACTTTTTAAAATTCAAATTAATTTATTTTCGAAGTTAATTAAAATTACATTAATTTAACATTTTAAACAAAAAATTTAGATCTTCAAAAACTATATGAAAATACTATAAATTACAATTTTTGCATATCAATATGATGAAAAAATACATCATAAAATGTTAGTCAAAAATTTTATAGTTTAATTCTAAAAAAGGAAATCATAACAATTAAAAGTAGACTGATGTAGTAATACAGAGAATAATCAATTTCTTTATTAGGAAACTTTCAAAAACGGCAAATTTTATGCATTCTATAGCAATAGTTTGCTTAATTATGAATAATAATAAAAAGAGATGAGCGAGATCTTGGGAGAAAGACGAAAGAATGTATTTTTCACGAATTTTAGAGAAAAAAATACAAATTGATTTATATCAAATTAATAAATACATATTAAGAAGGAAAAAGCGAGCGAGATCGAGAGAGAGGAAAGAGGATTGTATTTTGCATTTATTTTGTATTTTGTATTTATTTTACATTATATTTTTTATATATATTTTGTGTCAAATTGTATTCGAAATATAACTGTATTCATTGGATACAAATATAATTGAAATGAAAATACAAGTTCTCAATGAATTTCTTCTTATAGAAATGAGAGGAAAAAACATTAAGAGACGGTACATAGAGAGAGAAGATAGGGGTTTACTATATTGTTTGTTTTTTTTTTTAATATTTTAAAACTATAGTTATTTTTCATACATAAATTGCTAATTTTAACAAGTTCCATATTTTTTCTTTCTTTTTATTTGTTTTGCTTTATATCCAACTATTTTACTATCACATTTTTGCTATGATGTTGCTTTGAAAAATTTCGTATTGAAAACAGATCTCTAAATTGAATATTTAAATATGGTTGTCTAGTTTAAAAGCTAAAATTATAATCCAGTCTAAAAGTCTTAACCTTGTTGGATTCAAAACCAATTAGGACGTCATACGAAAGTTTATAATTGCAAATCATATATCGATAAGTTAGACGACATATAAAATTATACTAAAAACTATACTAAAAGACATAATATTATTATATGATATGAATATGACCAATTGACCTACATAATTAAAAAAAAAAAACTAATTAAAAGCATAGCCATAAACAAAATTGTGTAAACAACATGTCTTCAATTTATAGAGTTACAAATTTTTTCTCTAACAAAAGAATAAACCAAATATGAAGAGGAAAATTTTGCAGTAATATTTTGACTTTCCTTTAAAAAAAAAAAAAACTTAAAATATGGTTAAAAAATTCAAAGCAAAACCCTAACAAACCTAGTTATCAATTTTATTATTGAGTCGTCTTCACCTCCTCCTCCCCCTCCTCGATTAATGTGTTATAGTTGAGAAGTTTTTCAATAAAATCGACATGTGTCATCAACATTCTTCGACAACAATATCGAACCAAACCTAACCGATCAAGTGCTTCGCCTTCTTCGTAGCCAGCTTGGAGAATTTCAAGATATTCGTCCCACTTGTATCCGATCACCTTCCCGCAAGTGAAGCATTGAACTGGGATTATCATATTCCTAATTAGTGTCAATAAACAAGCAATTAGAGCTTTAATTTAATTATGATCTTAATTAATTTTGAATGAAAGAATTAGTCCTTAGAGCGATATGTTTCAATCCTTAATTTGGAGGCAAGTTATGTGTATATAGGATTGCCGGAATAAGCTAACCAAATCATAAAAGAATTAGGAAAACGTAAATAACTCAAACTCAAATATAATAATTTAAAGTTGGACTAGAAATCCTAAGTTGTTTAGGATTTATTATTTGGTATTTATTTAATTAATGTCTATTTAGGACCTAGTTAATATTGAAGGTGTCTTCTTACATATTTTCTTGTAGTGAAATTAAAAAGCTTTTATATTTATGAATAAAATATTTACCTCCAAGAAAACAATTGGTTTATATATGATTAAGGAACAATGGTCTGATGGACCCTTATACTTGTATCAGATTGTAAAGTGAACCCTTTTACTTATGACTTTGTCAAATGAACACTTAAACTTAATGGAACACAATATTTTTAACCCTTTTTTCATTTGGAGATGGTGCGTGTAATGCACCCAAGTACACATAGAGTCCACGTCATTTTTTAATTACAAGTAAGAAATTAAATATTAAAAAATAAATAATATTTTTTTAAAAAGCTAATTTTCCTCACTAGTTGCATGTGCACCTTCTTTCCCATCTCTTTCATTCTCATCTGTAAACCCTAGCCGCTCCCAAAATCCAAACCCACCTCCCACTCCCATTCTATTCCATCCGCCTTAAGCACAAAATATACACCTGCTGCCATAGCTATAGCTTGAGAAGTGGGTGTTCTCGTTTGGCAAGTTTATAAAAAAGATGAAATTTCTCTTCTTGACCCTTGCTTGCAAAGCTATAAATGAATTTTGCTTCCCCAAAACAATTCGAGATTCAAGAATCCATAGAAAATTGTTGTGAATACATAAATCTCCAGCAACCAAGAAAGCTGCTTGGAGCAGTCGTGGAGATTTTAGTAGTGACTATGACAATTTTCCTCCTGATCTCCAAGCTCCAGCAAAGAGCTGATCGAAATCGAGTAAATGGACCAGCATCGGAATGATTCCTTGAGCTACTGCAATCAATATATTCTTGTCATCTTCGTGCAACAACCCAGGCGACGAGTCCAACAATAAATTATTTGACTCGGTCGTCTTGATCTGAAGTTGAGTAATCAGATTCCTCAATTCAACTCGTATAATCTTGTTATTTGAGCTTTCATTTTATAGAGCAGTTTTCAATTTAAATCTTCAAATTAAAAGCTCAAATTATGTAACCAATTTTAAATTTGAAGACAAATAAATCAGCCCAAAGAATCATTCAGACAAAAAAGTTCTTCTTTCTTCTTTCCAATTTGTATGTTTGTTGTGGGATGTTTGACGGAGAGTATTTTTTTTTAGAAATAGAGTGAGATTACAAAAAAAATTAATGGTGAAAAATATGGGCGGGACCTAATTTTTTCTCTACAGAAAAAGAGAGAAGAAGAAGGATATTTTTTTGTTTTTCCTTTTTTTGAATATTTTTTTTTTCTGATTAATTGTGTCTTTTTAATGAAAAGCATTAATTTCACGCTCTTAACTCGCGTGTGCCTCACACATTTTTCCAATTCAGCAATTATACTGTCACATAAGCTTGGTCAATGATCAGAGGTGTTTAAAATGTTGTGTATCATTGAGTTTAAGGGTTCACTTGACAAAGTCATAAATAAAAGGGTCTACTTTACAATCTGATACAAGTATAAGGACCTATGAGACCATTCTGCCTATGATTAATAATATATTATTTTTAAAAAAAAGAGAGATGTCAACTTTCTACTCTTACATTGAAAAGAAAAATAATCCACGTATAAGGTATCTTGGAGCCCAACAAACATTTGAGTAGGCCTTCTTGGAGCGCACAACACTTGGCATTAGGGGTGAACAAGTCAAATTGTAAAGTCAAATCGAACCAACGAACTAAATCAAATAAAAAAAAATTAATTTATGGTTTGGTTTGGTTGGTTTGCCGTTGAAAAAAACCCGACCACTCTTGGTTTGGTATTAAAAGAAAAAAAGTTAAGCCGATGCAAACCAAACCGACGTAATATATATATAATTTTATTTATAGATAAAAAAATATTATTTATAATATACTTTGTTAATATATTTTTAGTTAGTTTATAGTTTTAAATGTTTAGATATATTATTTCAAATTTGGGCTCGTAAAATTTTGTAAATATTTTATTTTGTATTAAAACCGAAAGTTACAATTAAATTGTTATAGTTTTTCAAATTTGGAGTTAACAGTTTACTTTGTAAATATTTTCTTTTGTATTCAGTTTGACTATAACCTTTAATCTTATTAATTTAAGATAATAAACATTGATATTTCAATAAAAGTATTTTGTACTCACGTGAATTTTACCGTCTTTTCGAAGATTTCTATTGATTTAACATTTTAAAAGTTTAGCTTATCACACAGGTAAGTGAAAATATATTTGATCTTTTTTTCAAACACTGTATAGTTGTAAAAACCTGAAAAAACCGAAAAATCGAAAAAATCTCGAAAGAACCGACTAAAGACGAAATAAAAAAAACCTGACTTTATGTGGTTTGATTTGGTTTTTAGATTTAATAAACTGATATAATTGATTTAGTTTTTTTTTTTAATGAAAAACCAAACCAAACCGACTTATGTATACCCCTACTTGGCATAAATCTCTCAAGACTTGACCTCACCACATAAATTCTCATGGTGTTTTGTGATGGCTAGCTCGTTCAAAAAGAACCTTTTAAAACACGAATTATTATAATCATAGGCGAAATCAAGATTTAAAAACTGTTAGGAGTATCACTATCTTAACATAGGCACCAACTAAACTTCCAATGATGACTAGGGAATAGTATCATGTCGGATTGATCACTAGTCATGTAAGCAATGGCGAAAAGATAACCAACCATATACTATAGATAAAATATGAGTTCTAAGCTAATAGTTTGACTTAAACTTTATTGAAACAGTTGAGAGTGAGTATTTGATATCTTCAACTAAATCCTCTACACTCCAGAGTCCAGAGCAACTTCAGCAGAGAAATCCAAAACTCATTTGAGGTCAAATTGCTAAAATGCTCGAATCTCTTCATGCTACTGTTGAATAGTTTTGAGGCAAAAACAAGAGTTGCTGCTAATAATGCAGAAGATGTTGTTGAGCTCAAGATTGGTGAAACAATCAAAGGTTCAAGCTGGAAAGTTGGAATAGCACGTATAGTTTTACGCAACAATTTGCTAACAGCTGTTGAAAAGATCGAAACAACAAATAAAGATCTAAGCACAAGTACTCATGCTGCTGATGATGATGATCAAATGTGAGGGATGGAGCAAGCATAAAAACAGTGAAAAGAAATGCTTATAAAGAAAATAACTTGAGCAAAAGACTGATGTATTAATATAGGCTATGTAAAATTGGACAAGATTCCGAATAACTTGCATTCATTCTTTATCCTGTAACAAATTGTTGATCATATTTACTAAAGGAACAGTTCCCTTTGTCATTATCTCTAATCTACAAGTATTTGAAGCATGAGAGAATAGAGACAGCCCAAAAACTATGAGTTCAGGTAGAAACAATCGAGACGATAAGAAGCCATGCCAATAACGAGGTTCTAAGTCGAAAAATGCATCAAAGAACCTTCTTGTAGCAGGTAAATCAAGCTTCAGAAGAACATCCATACCGAAGCAGAAGAACTCTCTTTGACGTCTCCTCTCTATAGGCCACAAATCTTTCCAAACACCTGTGGATAATTCATTACCCGAATGACTTCTTTCAGAACCGAGGTATTGAATTATGGCATTGGCAACAACAGGAGCTGCAGCTAGTGTCCTTGCCACCATATAACCGGTGGACGGATGAACCATACCAGCTGTACCACCGATTCCAATGACTCTCTGAGGTAATACTGGAAGTGGACCACCCATTGGTATTAGACAATGTTCATCTTCTTCAATGCTCTTCACTTTTATCCCCAAGTGGTTTAAACGAGCCACCATTCGTTCTTGAATATCTTCTATACGCAATCCAGGACGAGCTACGAGTGAGGTTTCTTCAAGAAATATCCTGTTGGATGAAAATGGCATGGCATAAAGAAAAGTTGGTATTCTACTATTTCTCTCCTTGAGATCAGCATTGTTCTTCAAATGAGAATCTCGCCAATCCATGAAAACCATCTTGTTTACATCAAAGGGATGCTCTTCCACTTCAGCCAAAATGCCATAAGCAACTTGATACCCAGGGTTATAAGGCTTATCATACTGAACAAGAGATCTAGAGAAGCCAGTTGCATCGAGCACCACTGTTGCCTGAATAGTAATACCATCATTGCATATCAACATGGATTTCGATTCCTCATGAATCACCTTTATAACTTTGGCTTGGTGGAATTTAACACCATTCATTATGCATTTCTGCATCATTTTCGATTTCAGCTGTTTTCGGTTAACCCTTCCATAAGGTCTATTGAGATCTTTAGTCGTATTATCATCAATGTACACAGCTGCACCGGACCAGGTAGCATCTAGACAATCTAACAAGTCCATAGCCTCAAATTCATCCACCCAAACACCATAGTTATTAGGCCATATCAATTTAGGATTTGGATCAATTGAACAAACAGAGAGTCCTGCTTCAGAAACTTGCTGTGCAACAGCAAGCCCTGCAGGGCCACCACCAACCACAGCAAGATCCACAACAACCCCTTTTGAAGGATCATACATAGGAAGCTCAAAATCAAGATTTTCCTTTTTGGTCTCAGGTACAAGCTCTAAAAGAGCACTACTACTTGCCTTAACACAAACACTTCTACCCAAAGTTTCACAAAACTTCCTAGAACCAAATCTCTGAGGCTTCACAGAGCTAAAGGTACTAGCTTTAACAGCAAAACCATGAAGTGGGTTCAGAAATTCAAGGTTATTTGGGGTTTTCAACAAAGTATCCATCTTTTTCCAACAGGGTAATGATTTATCTCAAGAAAACTGCAAATGGGGTCCTATAATCTTGAATTTCAAGCTGGATTCAAGAAAGTTCCCCAATTTTCAACACAAATGAAGCAGAACATGTAAAAGAATCAAGCTTTAAACAGTTTAAAGAATTACAGAAACAAAATAGAGAACTAAGAATGAAAAGGGTATAGATATATACTAAGTATTTCTATATCTGAAAAGGAAAAAGAGTTGATTGCTCACCATGTAAACAGCAAGTGAAGAGAGAACAGTTTCCATTTTCTTGTTTGTTGCATATTGCTTGTGGTGTACAGTAGACTCTCCTTTGAGCACCTCAATATGTGGTCATAACACCACCATTGAAATTCTGACACATGTCTACTCTCATTTTAGCCCAAAAAAAAAAGTATGTGATATTTAAAGATAAAAATGGAAAGGACAATTATTTAGGTCCAAGGTATTTCTCTTTGCAAAAAGAGTGTACCAATTATAAAAAAAGATTTTTTTTTTATATTAAATTAAAATCATACAAATAAATTACTAAAATAGATGAACTACTAGTGTTAGACGATTTTATACTTTATTTTGATGAATACAATACTTAGATAGACTATATCGTTATTCATCATTATATATTTTACACATCAATAACTTAAAAAATAAATAAACTTCAAAAAAATAAAATATATGAGATAAAACTATCATAAAAAGGTTAAATAAATATGAGAAAACATAAAAGAAGAGGGTAACCATACAATTAGTATAACATAAAATCAGACTTTTCCTCACTACAATAACATAAAATTTAACAATATGATACCATATCAATAACATAAAGTTTAAAAAGAATAAAATATAAAAAAATCGTTTTCTATAGAGCTCACCTAACATCATAGTTAAAATTAGTGTAAGTCGATACACTTTTGTGTGTGTGGTCTTGGTTGCGTGTAGATAAACATGGGAAGCTCTAGTACCAGCAGTAAAGACGATTTCTCAGTGTTGGTGCTGGCATCGGATCTTGGTATTGATGCCCGACCCTTTTTGACCCATCAAGAACCTGAAGACAGCTGGTATGATTGCACTTCAGACCCTCCTCCTTCTGAGGAACAAGATTTTGCTCATCTTGATTCACTGCAGTTCTTACGCCTTGAATCTGGATCTGACAAATTGGGTAATCGGATCTTTCGTATTATTGGAAAATACTTTCCGGGTAATTTCTCAAAACCCCATATCAGTTATCTTAAGTTTACTTAAATATTGCTGACCAATTTTGACAATTAGTAATCTATAATGCTCTGTTTCAAGATTATTGCTTTCTGTTTGTTCAGTTTTATGAGCAATTTACTAATTTAAAGTGGGATGTTAAGAATTTGTAATAGTTGAGTAGTGGCTGCATAAAATTAAGTATGTTGTGTAATAGTTGTGTATGTGTGTTTTAGCTTCTGTAGAGCTACAATGGTGTACCTGTATTGGTTGGTGTGTGAATATGTTCAATAGTTGTGTGAAAGCTTAAAAATTGAGTCTTTAGGTGATATGGTTATCTGGGCTTCACTTTGATGTTCTCTACTGGCTTTCTCAACTGTTGGTTCCTGTTTGAAATTTTCTGAGTTGTAATGAAATATTACTCTTTCTGTTTGTAATATTTGGGAAGTTTAAAAATTTATATGAAAGTTGGATGCTTTGCCCTTGGATTCCAAACCCCTTTGTTCGTTCTGGGATGGAGAATCATAGGTGGTTACTAAAGTGGGATGTAAAGAATATTAAATACATTGAGTAGTGGCTGCATGGAGTTCAGTTGGTGATTATCTACTTTTCCTTGTTTTTTTTTTGGTTGTTGGTGTGTTTTAGCTTAAGTTCAGCTCAAATGGTGTACCTGCACTGGTTTGGTTATGTTCAATATTTGGTTAAAAGCTTTAAGATAGAGTCATTTGGTGATATGGTTATCTGGGATTCACTTTGATGGAGTCTTCTGACTATCTCAACTGTTGATTTCCGTTCTTGAAACTATCTTAGTTGTTGTTTTTTGTTGTAATGGAAACAAATACTAACCTGTTTGATTGGTAGTATTTCCCATGCATCTTGTGTCACTGTTTTGGTCATGTTTTTCTGTGGCACTATTGCCGTGGAGCTTACTTTGAGACCTTGACCTTCAGCTGTGTTTAGTATCTGATAAACCTTCTCCTCAACATTGTTTGAGTTTACTATCTGTTTTGTTAGGTTTTTCTTTCTAAACAACTAAATAAGGCTGAATTAGTCAGTTATGATTGTCTTGATGGATGTAATCGAGTAAATGGATTACCATGATGTTTCTGCCTTTGCACTTGCCACCTTAAATGAAAGCTACTTTAGTGTTTGAGCTCTATTTTCCTACATTCCTTTATGTCTTGCATTTGTTCCAATGGCTATTTTGATGTATTGATGGAAGAATACACGATGTAAGCCTGTGATGTCAGCGCACATCCAAAGTATGTTTTCCCTTCAGCAGCCTATCAAACATTTGAATGAATATCAAGTCAATCAAGTGGTGTAACTCCTTTTGAAGTGCTCTTACTATTGCTTGAACAAATCGTAGATTCATAAGATGGGTCATCATAAAATTCAAGGATGACCTATCAAGTAAGGAAAATGGACTCGGAGCAAATCTTTTTAGGTTATCAGTTATATCGGTGACATTTAAGCGGAGAGATACCATTTTAAGAATTAACTAGAATGCTTCTTGTTTGATTCTTATAAGCCTGTTTACCAGGTTATATTGCTTTAACTCTTCAAAATACCCGAAAATAGATTTCTATTGGATTTGCCTGCGTGAGTTCGTCATTGGGGTCATTTGTGATGCTACAATTGCTGCAAGGCAATAATGCTGCCTCCATTATTCTTCAATCATGTGAAAAACAGTAAAAGCCTTGGCCTTTTCTTCTCCTCATTGGTTCCTATAGCCCTCTTGCTTCAACTCCATTATATTGATTTCAGCTGTTTATTTCTTCCACGCGAAAGAGCACTGACTATAGACATGAGATGATTGAATAAACAATAGTCTCAGACCATACAAAGTTGGACAAATACATATGCATGGATGGGAGACCTTTCCAAAGCGTGATGTTAACCCCTCTAAGCTAAGTCGTTTAGCTTTTTGTTATTCACTGTGATGACATCTCTGTCTTGCTTCTCGGGAGATTTCGAGAATACTTGGACAAAATATTCTTTTTTAGTTGATGCAAGTTTTGATATAATCACTGTGATTAACCTTGTAAAAGAAAAGTATTGTAAAGTGATATTCCATCTCATGTTTCTTTGATCCTGTTTCCCTTTCTATTTGTTGCTTGAAATATATATAAAACAACTATGTCAACAATAATACGCAGCTCTAGTTATAAGTGCGGAGCGGCTGAAAAAGTTTGTGAACTTATTCGTGGTTGCTGTTTCATTGTCTCAAGTGATATTCCGTCTCATGTTTCTTGTTCCTGTTTCCCTTTCTGTTTGTTGCTTGAAATATATATAAAACAACTATGCCAACAATAATACGCAGCTCTAGTTATCAGTGCGGAGCGGCTGAAAAAGTTTGTGAACTTATTCGTGGTTGCTGTTTCATTGTCTCAGATGATATTCCATCTCATGTTTCTTTGTTCCTGTTTCCCTTTCTATTTGTTGCTTGAAAAATATATAAAACAACTATGTCAACAATATTTTGCAGCTCTAGTTATAAGTGCGGAGCGGCTGAAAAAGTATGTCTTTAACAAAATTTGCACGGAGCTGCCTGAGGGGCCATTCTGTATTGTCTACATGCATAGTACGGTTCAGAAGGAGGATAACAACCCTGGATTGACCATCTTGAGGTGGATCTACGAAGAGCTACCTTCTGACCATAAGGACAGGCTTCAGGCTGTATACTTTGTGCATCCTGGGCTCCGGTCAAGGCTTGTTCTTGCAACCCTAGGCAGATTTTTCCTGAGTGGAGGGTAAGTAGTTTCTTCGTTAGTTAAACCTCTGCACATGGTAATTGTAGACCTCACATTTCCCCCCTGCATGTTTAGTCGAGATTGCATGAATTTTAATTACATTTTCTGGTTGATTAGTCGAAACCATAATCATTTGTCTTTCCAGTGGACATGTACGATAGACCATAGTGCTTGCATCAATTTCCGATCAACTCATCTTGTAGCTAACCCCCGTAACATGTAAATATTTCCCAAATGCATTCAGGTTACAATGATCTTGAAGCGTTTTTTGCTACTGTTATGTAGACGTTGCTTCTGGTTTCACTCTTCCTCTCTTTTAGCAGCATCTTCTTTCCTTCATTTGAGAGAAATGTGAAGGACATTTATACACTGTTTTCTTTTGGTGTAGCTTGTATTGGAAAGTAAAGTATGTTAGTCGACTGCAATACCTTTGGGACGACATAAAGAAAAGAGAGCTTGAGATCCCTGAATTTGTTCAAAAGCATGATGAGATTTTAGAGCACAGGCCACTGACTGATTATGGAATTGAACCAGATCCCCTCCACTTGTCGCAGATGCCACCGTCAGCCTACTCGATTGGTAGACATGACACCGGATGGGCATCTAGACAGTACATGTCTTAGAAAATCTGCTAGATTCTGTACAGCGTCGTAGCTTTTGTACCAACTCTTAGTGTTTTTCAGTTTAGTGATGTTTCTACAACTTATATGAACTTTGTCCTAAGCTTTCTTCTGCCCAACCTATGTATTACAATAAACTGGTATTCCATTAGTAATCTTTATCCTAAGAAACTGCTCAACTTCCTAAATTCTCCCTTTCTGTGTTTTCATTAAAGTTTGCAGGTCAATAATAGAAAGTGTCAGGTAAAACATTTATATGGTTTACTCTTTTGGTTCTTTAGTTAGTATTTCTACCAAGCTGATATTTCTTGTCTGAGGTCTATCAGAAACAGTCTCTCTACCTTCCTTTCTCCTTTATGTATACCAATGTTACTAATTGAGTATCAACATCTAGTTATGTTGTCAGTAAGAAGTTAACATAGGCGTTTTCTGAAGCACTTTCTATTTCTAGTTAGCGCTTTTTCATTTATTGCAACAATTCTAAAGAGAGAAAAAGAGAAGTATGTAAAGAAAGGAAAACAAGAACTGTATTATCTCAAGGATTGTTTACACAACAACAATTCTTCAGACCTCAAAAACATACAAAACAAATAGAAAGAAAAATAACACACCTTATTATTAATTAATTAATATACAGTGTGTCACATCACACATTATACTATAATTTAGTGAAAAACATAAGTATATATTACATCACTAGTTAAATACATCAACACCAAGTGAACTCATTATGGACTCCTTCATATAGGTCCAAATCCTAAATATTCAATCAAAAGCACACTTCACATACCCAACAGCAGCATAGTGCAAATAAGCTGCAAAAAAGCAAAACCAAATTTCTTAAGATCACCTTTATTTATCGTCGCATGTAACACAATTATTTTCAAGATAACAGATCTCACATTTTTATGAATAAATACGCATAAATATCTTTTTGGATGACCTAATAGTACTAAAGATGTTTTATATAGTCAATGTATATTAAGCTATCAAACCGATATAGTGTAAAAAAAAACATGTGATGAATATTAAGAAAACTTAATTACCATCCTTCAATGAAGCCCCTTTCTCCTTTTGGTTTACTTCTTGGGAAGCACTTCATCTTCTTGTTCTTCTTTTCAGTTGGTAGTGGTGTAGATTCTGTAGGATAACCTTTAAAACCAAAACACAACAAAATTAAGAAGTTACCATCAAGGAAGAGTGATCAGTAGAACATCCTTAACTTATCGAAAAATTATACCATTTTTTTTTTTCATTTGATCATAGGTATTCAGAATCCACCTACACACGTAAGCTCTATTAAAGGGATTACGAGTTACATCCTTGTACTAATAACCCTATTAGGATTTTTTCCATTTTCAAAACTCGAACACAAAACCTAAAATTCACGGTAAAGGAAGATCGAACTTTATTCATCCCTCCATAATCTTTTAGTGTGTGTATATAAGATCAAATATCATAGACTACTTCTTAGATTTATTTATATTAAATATTGAACATGAATTTCTAAAAATACGTATATTAAATATTGAACATAAATTTCTGACTTCATTACCTGAAGGAGGTTGGTTTTGTTGATTTTGCATATTGAAATGAACAAAAGAAAAAAGAAAGAAGTATATGAAGAGTACTATATACTATATGTCAAGTAAATAAAACTGATCAATGTATGTAAATATATGGAAAATACTATATGTTGAGAACTTGTTAGCAAATAGCACCTTTTATATATAGTTTTCAGATGGATGAAGATCAAAATTAAAGGAAATTAGATGCCCACATATTCCATTTTTTAAAATTATTTTTTAGAAACTTTTTATTGGTGACCCCACATGTTTTTATTTGTCAAAAAGAAATGAGATCATATGGATCAAGTCGGTTTGAAAGATGAGAATTTTTTGTCACCTTTATATCACTGGTTTTTCAATAGCAATTTCTTTTTCAATAATAATTATAATTATAATGTTTGAGTCAGTTTATTAGATATTAATTATTTTATATTTATATTTGTATTATTAGATATTGTTTTGAAATTAAGTTATGTTTTTATCTCGATTAGAATTGAATTTCATTTTTTTATGATTTTAATTCGCTTCATTGGTCGATTGGACACACGCTTACACCAACAGGAGTTTTGTATTACTATCTCCAAATTTTTGTATAATTGATTTAGAAATTTCTTGTTCTACCTGCTTCCTATATATTGATGGTAGATTAAATTTAAATTTACGTTGAAATTTTTTTTATATTGAAGTAAAATATTTTCTAGCAAAGACAACTCTATATTTTGAGCTTAAATTCGAGATTTTTAATTAAAAATTAAAAAGTGTTTATCCTTTAACCTAACCTATGTGTTTTATATATTCTCTAGCCTTGTTCATTAAGTTATCCTCAAAGAGAGATAATAAATATTTTAAAATTAGTTAATAAAATGAAAGAGGTATACAAAGTGAAAATGATCTCGAAAATTGTTTTCAACTTTACATGTTTTGATTGCTTTTATAAAGGGAAAAGAATAATTGTGTTTATATATGAAAATTTAAGTGATATAAAAAGTAAAAAGAATATATTCTCAAAAATATATATGTTAAAACATCAAAAGATTCCAAAGGTAACACGGTTTTCCCTTTTTGCAAATCTTTTTTCTTTAATAACTACCTTTGCAACTTACATTTTCTCAAAGTTTATTTCAATTTTTAAGTTTGTATGTGTAGGAACACATTAATCTAAACTAATTAATCCTATTTTGATTAATCTCATATAAAAGTGCGTGAAAAAAGTTTATAATTTTTGTTTAAAACTCCAGGATAACCCGCAATCTCTGCTACAACCTCTAACCTTCGAGTGAACACTGAGCACTTTGTGCGCACTGAGTAAACCCCCTTTGTGTGACAGTCAGACAGGAAATGTAAACCGCACTAAGCAAGTTTATGTGACAGGCTCGACTCAGAAAATATTGAGGGGATCGATCTCCGGTCACAATTGCTTAACTAATAAGGAACTACTTAATTTGTTCCAAGTGAATGCTCGAATCTTCAGTTTGTACAATTATAATTTATTGGCAAGTCATTTTCATTGAAAATTGTGGTTGAAACACTTTGGATTTGTTTCCTTAATGAATAATTTTTCAAAAATGCATTTATTAATGGATTGTGACTTCTTATAGAATTAGTAGGTGTGGAATATATTAGGGAAAAAAAATCATTTTTCTTGAATTAGAATCGTTAGTGGGTTTAATATGCAATCTAATGAGTTGAGATGGTCTATATTCCCAAGTGTGAACTGATATCATCACATAACATACTGTATTCACACCTATGATAAAATGCATTATAGTTGCACATAGGTTATTTAATCTTAATTGAGATAGAGTTAAAACAGTATTTGATTTTAATTATATGTTTTTCAAGCAAAAGCTTAATTAATGTATGTCTATGTATATGAAGATATCAACTATATGTGTGTTTAACTGGATCTAATGCATGTGCAAACCAATTGTATGATATATCAATTGTATGTGAAGGGTATGTTAAATGTATGAGGAAAGTAACACTAATAATATATGTTGTATGTATATCATATATGATATATGTGTGTCAGGTATTTGTTGAAAAGGCTCACTGCTATAAAACACATAGATACATGTAGCTTGTATATCTGCTATATCGTTTAAACTCATCGAGATAGATTATAAGACCTTTTCCCCTTCTTCCTTATCCGTAGCCCGTAGGATAATTTTTTCTTATGACCTTCACTCTCCCTCCCCCCCATTTGAAAATAAAGAACCAAGTTTCTTTCTGATCCATTCATTTCAGCAATTAAGAAAAATCTAGAGTATTGCCCCGTCAATTAAGAAAAATCTAGAGTATTGCCCCGTCAATTAAGAAAAATCTAAAGTATTGCCCTGTCAATTAAGAAAAATCTAGAGTATTGCCCCGTCCTATTAGAGGCCGAATGATCACGCCCCACAAGCACCCAACCTTCCTTTTGCTCTTCATTCGCCCTACTCATATGTTTTCAAGTTTCATCTTCAATTGGCCTTGTTGGGCTTGGTGAGACAAAACCAGTTTCCATACTTACCGGATCAGTACGGGCCTGGGCCACTAAATAATGGGCCTAAATAATTGGCTCAATTTCCCAAGTTGGGCTGCCAATTCTCCCACCTAAGACCATTAAGACCCGGCGACCCGCAGGGGGCAGAATTAGAATAAAGGTACATGTTCGATCAAACTCAAAAAAATTGATTTAAATTTATATTTATCTTAAGAAATTAATTGATTATCTAGGAATTATTATTTTAAAATTTAGTAACTTGTAAAAATTATAATTTTAAATTTATAAATTCTGCCTTCGAAGATTCATCATCATAATTTATGAACAATCATTGACAAATAAATTTTACTAATCTGACAAAACTTGTAAATAATTTAACAAAATCAAAAAATAAAGATTGTAGCAAAGTTATGACTCACCGTCATAACTTGTGGATAATGAAATTTAGACAAATCTTATCAATTTTTTAAACAGCTCAACAAAATAAAAAAGAATGATCGATGATTACACAAAAATTATATTTCATGACAATGATATAAAATTTGAACTTACATGGTTATTACGTAGTGTTTCATAATGTATCGTATTACCCGCACTGGATGTTTACACAAAATCAATGCAATTTCCATTATTACGTGATTTAATGAAGTAAAATGAACTATAAATTTAAACACATGGCATGCATGTATTGGCTTGGTGTAAACATCCGGTACCGGAAAGTTATATTCATTATATTATACTATATTGTTTTAATGAATATAATATTTGAATAAATTGTATCGTTTTTCATCGTTACATATATAATGTCACACATTCATAATTTGAGTGAGAAACCTACAAGATAAGTAGGATACGGGGTAGAACTATTATGAAAAGGTAGGATAATAGATAAAATATAATAATTGAATAATAAATAAAGTTAAAATGAGATGAAAATTATATTTAAATAATGACATGATCACACCAAATCAGTTGTTATATAAAATGAGTATTTTCATCGTTATCTAATGATGGATTACCATACGATACAATAGAATTTAAAATAACCATCAAAATAAACATTATATTTAAACTAACAATACAATACAATACAACAAGTAACAACCATCTGAACAAGATGTTAAGCTTCTAAAATCCTTATTTTTAAATCTTCAATGATATATTATCCCTACACCTATTAAATAATTTGATTCTCGTACTTCCTATAAAATCACATAATTGAAAAAGATAAAGTAGCTAAGGGCCCGTTTGTTCATAGATAATTTTCACCTTCTTTGTTTTTTAATTAAATAATGTTTGGATATATAATGGAAACTCAACTTTGAATTTTGAAATATTTCGAGATGCACGAAACGTCATATATTTATTTTCATATTTTTTTCGCTTTAAATCACTCGTAAACATAGAACTTTTTTCTTAAAATTATATTTATAGCAAAATACAATTATAATTTTGAAATATCATTTAAAAAACTTCTTCACAAATTACTTTTGAAATATTTTTTTATGTCTAAACGTCCACTAATTGTTCTTGATATTCACTCCGTCTTATATTAATTGATTATTTCCTTTTTACATAGATAATTTTACTAATTCACCCCTTAAAGTTTTTGGGATTTTACAAATAAATGTGAACACTTAGAAAAGAACTAATTACAAAGTAATATATAAAAAAGTTAAATTAATGCTTTCTTGATTTAGAAAGGTGCACAACTAATACTTTTTCTGTCCCCAATTACTTATCCAATTTTCCTTTTTTACTTGTCCATTTTGACAAATCAAGAAATGACAATTTTTTTTTACCTATTATCCCATCAATTAATTAGTTTTGAAAAAGGTAGAACTTCTTGAAAATTTTAAATATTTAATTCATCCACTTCATAATTAATATGGATAAAATGGTACACTCACTATATCAATCTTTGTTTTCTTAATAAGTGTGTCAATTCAAAAGTAGACAGCTAAATAGGGACAGAGGAAATATGAGATAATTAATTATTTTTAGTAAGATGATCAATTAATATGAGATGGAGGGAGTAATAAAAAGGAAAAAAAAATAAGAGACAAAAAGCAACAAAATGAGATATCATGGATTTTGTCATTGTGCCATCACTTCAGACATGTTGCCAACTTGACTACTCATATATTCAACAAAAATTAAAGCATATAATAAAACAAAAAAAGAAAAAAATGACTTCCACTTTGAAAAACTCAATCTATTTTAATATAAGTAATCTAATCTAATCTTAATTAATTCCAAAATCCATATACGTCAACCCCAAATCTTCTTCTCGATTCTTTTATTTTATTTTATAATATTTTATATATTATTCAAATATTATTTTCTTACTATGTGTGTTTTTTCACCATTGTCCAAAAAGTGTAGGGATTGTGACTGAAGAAAAAAGTAGAAGAAATAAAAAGTTACAACAAACGTCACCTGAAAGATTTGGATTATGTTCTACTAGTATCATTAATTAATTTTTATTTGCTTAATTAATATTATATTAAGTCAAATGGGCCATCTTAATTTATCAACCTTTGCTAATAGCACTTTGTTATGATTATAAATCATTAGTCCCTCTGTATTGCAATTGAAATTTTATATATTTAGAAAATATAAAGAACCTACGTTATTAAAAATTCATCAATTTCCAATCAGATATTTTATCAGAAATTCATCAGATCGTCGTTTTTTCGAAGTGACGATTTCTAGTGATGTCTATTATTACCTTTTGTTTATATTTATATATATATATATATGTATAAAATTGGGAATTTTTATATCCTTAATTATTTTTATGTTCCACTTTGGATGGTCAACTATGAAGTAGTAGATGAAATGAAATCCAGCTAAGTACCACTTTTTTTATTACACTATGAAATTCAAAAAGAATATTATTTTGCCTCTTGGAAACATCAAAGTTCCAAAACTTGGAATTACTAATTAATTTCAAATTAAAGCAAAAAAATCGAATATATTGTGTAAAATTAATTAGTTATATCATCCAAGATCATATTATATTAAAATCTTGCAACTTTGACATTCTTATAAAAGATTTATATTTTTTTCAGAAAGATTATATAGTGTATCTTCATGCTAAAGATCAATTTACATTTTATCTATCCCAACTTGATTTAGGTTTGGGTTATAAAGTAAATAAAGTTACAAATTAATATTATATATTTAAGCTAAATCAAAAGATTCTGTAAATTAAATACCCTTTCATATGCTCTAAATGCTACAAGATCACATTTCATGTTTTCAACTCATATGCCTTGCTATCTAATTTTTCGACTAATTCTTCGATCGAAAAATTATATTGTCTTTTATCGAAAAAGTATATTATATACCTAGCTCAAGAATTAATTAATTAAATAAGGTATATATGTGTAACAAATTATGTCGTGTAACCACACTCAATGTTGAATATGTGAGACAAACCAATATTAATTTTCTAATATCAAATCATGTCTTTCATAATTATACGTTTCTTTATTAGAATTAGAAAATAATAAATTAGAGCCAATCATGATTCTAATAGCATAGTATACATGATTAAAATAAAATAAAATTACATATATTAAAAAGGATTGAAGAGACATCTAACCCCACCATATACAAGAAGCCAAATAACATCCATTCTTGAAAATCTTTCATGCACATGATTTTAGATTAAAAAATTTAATATCAACAAGGAAAAAAAAGAAAGTTTTTTAAATCAATTATTTTGATATGTTAAATATATTTAAAATAAATTGTATTTAATAATTCCTTTTCGGTGTGACAGCAAGAAAATGCAAGGAGGAAGTTGGGAGGTGGGATATAATATACTAGTAGACAAGAAAATTATTGGTTGAAAAAAAAATAGTCCATTTGATATTTTGAAGTATATAACTAATTTTTATACTATTAAATTATTTAAACGATAACTATAAATCATATTTGTCATAATAAGTGAAATTAGGTACCTAAAAATGAAATGTTTAAGTTATATATATTCATCACTAGGTGAGAATTTACGTAAACTCAATAACTCTTGTTCATACTTCGTATATTAACAAAATTCACAAAATATCTATAATATTTAACTATGAATTATGATATTATTGTAATATTTAACTTGATGTCATTGTATGAGCTCACAAACTGTAAATTTTTCGAAGCCACATATATTACAACATATAACTAATCAACTTATTTTAGTCTAGATCTTATATTTTAAGGAGACTTTACGCGTAGAAATCTTTGATGACTTGATAGTTTAATTTATTATGGATGTATATGACTAAAACTTAAAATAAAGAATGTAATTTACTACAATAAATTAAATTATACTGGTTAATATGCAAATTATTTTTACAAAATCAGTGTATATAGTAAATTATATATATCCTTTAAAATAAAACAAAAAAAGTAATTGACAGGACAGAGTTGACAAGATTGACCTGTGTCCTTTCCTCTTTACAAAGCAAAAACTCAGATTCTCCTTTGTCTCAACTCTCATCCAATAATTTCCCCATTGCATTATCATCTCATCAATACCCTAAAATCAAAACATGAAATAATTCACAAAAAATATTATCTTGCTCCAACTCTTAAAAAATATCGTCATGTATATATCGAATTCTTCAAAAAATAGTGTACTTTTAAAGAATTTGATACGAAAGTGATACTATTCTCGAAGAATCTAAGCAACTAACATAGCCCAAAATATCAATAGCTTACACCAAATAGTACACTAAAGAGCAAAGGTATATATATATGTAACTATATCTTAATATATAATAGTAATCGAGATCATTGACTTTCCTTTCTAGTCAGTCTCAATTGATAAATTGTTGAGACAAAATATATATGTACAATCTTAATACTCATGTGAATGGTGGTACATTGATGAAGGGTGATCATGAGTTGAAGTATTAGCAACTCCAGCACCAAGATTTAAATACACCATTCTTGAATCAATGTTAGTACCACTACTTGTGCTAGATGTATGATCATCACTCATGTTATTTGGAGGATAAATATTTGTCGAAGAGAGATCAATGTTCGCGCTCCCTTCCTCTCTTAAAATCACCATAGCTGCTGATTGAACAAGTTCAAGACAGAGTCTCAACTTATTTGGTTCAATGTGGACATGTCCAGGGACAGTTCCTTTAAATAGAAAATCGGACGTTAGGGTACGTAAAATGTCCAATGGAGTGATGCCATCTAACATTCGTACATTGGGATCAGCATGGTGGTCTAATAGAACAGCTACCATGTCTGGTGACACCATTTCAGCTGCAATGTGCAGCGGAGTTTTCCCTGCAGGACCTGCAGGGAAGTTAACATCCGCTGCACCTAGCTCTAGTAACGCTTTCACAACTTCCCTACTACAATTTTCAACTGCATAGTGTAATGCAATTGATTCATCAAGATTTAACCCTTCTCCCATTACCATGAGCTTGACAAGTTCAACGTCGGATGAGTCAAGGGCTCGTCTCATCCTACGGATTTTTTGGTCCTCGAGCTCAGCTGCAGAGCTAAGGTCGAGGTGGTGGTGATGATGTGGCATTAAGGATCGACGTGCTAGGTTGGATTTGAGGCGTAGTTCTTCAATTTTGGCTACAACATCAATGGGAAGGTGTTTGGCCAACATTTCAGGTGGAAGACCTGATTTTGCAACCAAATGTGAACACGTAGTCCATAGTTGATTCATGTCTTGCTTCCTTGATGCTATTAGAACTCTCATCACATCCTCAATTGAAGCTTTTTCTACCATGATTGCCAATTGCTTCTGATCAATTAAAAAAAGAAACATAAAATTATCACGAGCTCGTCCCATGGTTTAGCTGATTGTAAATAGTTGATAAATATCAAGTGCTAAAAAAGAATATATATATACAATCTACTTATGTGTTATGTTCAAAATTGTAGTTCCATTTTCTTTTCTTGTAACCAAATGAGGAAAGTAGATGACTATTGGGGAAAGATTAGGTCTCATCACTTTTGAAAGACAAGATGGATATATCAAGAACCATATTTGGAAACATTTTAGCTAGTGTGTGACATTATGATAAAATAAGCCCAATTCAAGAAACTCAAATAACTAAAATCTCACATGAAATCAAGACAACAATTGTGAGATGAGACATCTAGTGTCAAAATTCCATCAACAAAATAAATCATTAAACAATGTAAAAAGAGGAAAAAAGTTTAAAGATTTCCCCACTTTTTTTTTTATATACATTCACTTCAACTATTTTTAAATAAGTTCAAATAATATGTAAACAAATTAAAAGAAGAAGAAGTTCTTGGATCAAATGATTCTGCAAAAAGAAATTTACTACTAAACAAGAAACAAAAACTTAAAACAAAAATTAACACCATTTCCCAAGAAGAAATGGAAATTTGATTCCACTATTCCAAAAATCCAAAACACCCATATACAATAAACAAAAGTGAATCAAAATTAAGCTCAGAGTTTAACTGACACACTGACGACTATGTTAAGTCATTTTAACTTGACTTTTTTCAAGATTACGAATTTCAGAGAAGTTATTAGTAATAAATATCTTTTGAATAGCTTGATTGTCGGTAGATATTAGTTAAACTCATTTAAAGAGATGAGAAGGACAAATGATTGATTAACCTGAGTGAGCAAAGCAAGTTGTTCAACACCAAAAGATCTAGCGGCTGAGAGTGTATCAAGTGCAAGATCAACGGCTGAGGTGCAATGTGTATGCCAACAACCTCTCTCTCCACAATTTGGTCTTGGCTCATGTTTTTGTGGCACAATTGATACTTGTCCACTGTATAAAAACTGCATCATCAACAAAAACACCTCATATCCTACTGAGTTCACCGGTATCACTACTGATGACGGTGAACCAGTATCTCTCAGCCCGTTAACCGGGCCGAGTTGTGGGCCGGACTGAGGAGAGCCCGGCCCACAAAAGAATTTCCTGAAGAATTGACTCCGTGCTGCCAGGACGCAACGGTGAGCATGGACTAAATGACCTTCAACATGAAAAGTAACATCACTAAAAGCTTGACCATTGATGAGGAGATTGAGATAATCTAAAGATAGACTTCTTAAGGAATCTTCAGGATTACTACTCATTTTTTTTTTGGCTATGTATAAACTATAGTAGTAAAAGGTTTTAGTTCATGTTTGTATAGTTTTGAAAGTAGTGTTGGATGAAGAAGAAAAAAAGAGAGTGAGTGAGATTCTTCTTTCTGTATGATTGGTGTTTTGTGTTGTGTGTGTGGTTAAAATATTTAGAGAGAGAGAGAGGGTGGAGCAATATGGATGGTTATTCTGGGCGGCTGAGGTATTTAAACAAAAGAAAAAGGGAATATCGGTAACAATAGCATATTCAATGAAATTACACGAGTGAGATCTTGAGAAAGAGATGTATATGCAGTCTTATTCGAAGCTAAGGAGAATATTTTCGATATACTCTCGGCTCAGATAAAATAATAAAAGGAAAAGGAAAGAAAACACGATAGAAAATATCAGCAGCACCAACAAATAATATGATAAGAGAAATTAGATAGCACGACTACTAATTATTGACTTCCATACTCTCTATTTTAATTTATTTGTTTTAGTTACTATTTGATCAACATGCATATTCAGTGTGACTTCACAAATAGGATGCGAGGAGAGTAGTTATACGCAACCTTATTTTTATCTCATGAAATAGAGATACTATTTTCGATAGATCCTAGACTCACATGAAAGGCATAGCAAAACTAGAGAAAAAAGAGGATTCAGTTAATGACATTAACAAATAATGTGATAATCAAAACAAATAAAACAATAAGTAATACTAAGAAGTATGTATAAGAAAGCAGGAGAAAAAAAAAATAGCCCTGACAAAGAGAACTAAACAATACGATTTATTAACCTTCTATTTTAATTTCGTACCCTTTTTTTTTTTTTTGGTCTTAATTAGAATATAGTAGTTAAAAGAAGAACGTGTTCTTGAATTTCACACAGGCCTAGTAAAATAGGAGACATTTGAAAAAAGAATTGTAAAATATCATAGTTTTACCTAGACTCATATATTTTGTATATTTTTTTTTTTACCCTCCCTAGGAGCTCCCACCCCTTTTACTCCCTTGGTGACTCGAACTCGCAATCTTCGGGTTGGAAGTGAGGGGTGCTTACCATTCGAGCAACTTGTATTCATTATAAATTCTAGGGAAAAAGGATATTCGAACTTTGACCGAAATTGTTGTAATAATCCCAAATTATGGGCAGGACCTATCACCCTGCACTATTTAATAGTTTATTTTAAAGATATATAAGTGTAACACCCCGACTTTTCGAAACGTCTAAATTGACTCGTATCTTCGTGGAAAGACCAGGAGGGTGGGTAATAAATTAAGAATGATGTGTTACGTGATATTTTAAGTGTTCAAGGGTTGTATCTCAAGTTTTGAAGTTAGGTAAGTGGCAAAATAAAAGTTGGCGAAAGTTACCGTAAATTCCTTTTTAAAGATTTGTTTGAAATTTGGGTCATATGTCTCAGAGATTTTCTACCAATCTATAAAGAGTTATGGTGCCCACGACCTGTGAAATCGAAGGTCTACGAGTCTAGTTTCCAACTCATCAACCCGTTCGTTCATACGACTTCAGAATGGAGAGATATTCACATTTTTTGCAAGACTGCACAAGCAGGCAGGTGAGGTGGGTCCCCTAGGTCGGTGGAACTTTATATATATCATCTTCTTCGACTTTTCTTCATTTTTCCTTCACTCTTCTTAGTGAATAACCATAAAGCTCACAAAACCCACTTCTAGGATCAACCAAGTTACAGATTTTCATGACTTAAGTCCTTGACAAAAGTTGTTCTACGCGTTGAGCTCGTCAACATGGTATAATTTATTTTATCGATTTCTTAGCATATCGTACTTTGGTGTGTGGACAGCAGGGGTTTGAGCATATTTTAAAGTTTTGAGGTGTATTACAAACTTAAAATCAAGGTAAAACCCTTTTTCCATCCACTCTAGCTTTGATAAGTCGCAAATAGCAATTTGCGATGAAAATACATATCTTTTATCAGATTATCGTGGTATCCTCTATTCTTTTGTGTTGATTATGGTCCTGCCTTGTTGTAGTATCAAAGGGAATTGTGAGTAAAGTCGTTAGGCCAACATGAATTCAGCGAAAAAGGTATGTTAAGGCTATTCCCTACTTACGACATGTTTCCTTAAAGCTTAGGAGCAATGTAATTGGGTTGTTATCCTTGTTATACTTGTAGCCATTATTGTTGATTGTTGGCTGCTCGAGTTGATATAATCCTCCCTTGTCGGGATTCTTATTCAGTTAGTAGCGTCCCTATGTTGGACACGACTTAGAGGCTATTTGTATAGGTTGCTTATAACTAAATTGCTCGCTTTTAGCGATTGGATTGTTATTGTTGCCCTTGGGATATTGTGGTTACCTGCAGGAATATGATCTATGCCTAAAAGGCTATGTTCTGCCTACGGGGCTATATAGATGCCTAAGAGGGCTATGAGTTGCCTACGGGGCTATATTGATGCCTACAAGGGCTATGAGTTGCCTTCAGAGCTATATTGATGCCTAAGAAGGCTATGTGCTTCATACAGGGTATTGTTGTTGCCTAAGAGGGCTATGAGTTGTTTATAAGCTATGTTGATGCCTAAGAGAGCTATGTGCTGCCTACGGGGCTATATTAATGCCTAAGAGGGCTATGTGACTGCCTGCGGGGCTAGGGGACTACCGATAGGGATATATAGACTGATTGGCACCTTCCGGGCTTATGGGGGCCTGAGTAGGTGGTCTTGTGTGTTGTTTGTACCTGCCGAGCTTATGTGGGCTTGGTTACGTTGTTGTTTTATTATTTTTGATAAGTTAAGATTTAGGAGCAGGTTGGTACACTTATCTTATCCTTGATTTGTTTATCGAATTATTCCAGTATATTAGGATACCTGCTCATAGTTTATTGCCTTTCATACTCTGTACATTATTTCGTACTGACACCCCATTGCCTGGGGACGCTACATTCATGCATGCAGGTCCCGACAGACGACCCAGTAGACCTCCTTAGCAGCAGGATTGACTTTTATCCTGTTGGCTAGCCCCTTTCCTCCGGAGCTGCCAGAGTTTGGAGGTTTGTTAGCTTTTGTTGTATATATTTTTATGGGTAGGTTGGGGACCTGTCCCACCAATATTTAATACTCTTACAGGCTTGCAGACTAGTGTGTGAGGTGTGTAGCTACGTTATGGCCATGCTGTCTTAGTTTGTTGGTTTGCTGAAGCTTGTGAGCTGTTTGATGTATTGTCTTGATATATATATATATGTTTTCAGTTTTGGTATAGAGATCATGGTGGCCACGACGGCCCAATCAGGACTTTTGTGCTAGTTGACTATTTCTTTATATGAACTCTTGGGAGTAGCTGTTTTGTTTATAGATCTGTTGACAGGGGCCTTGCCGGCCAAGGGCTTAGTTTTAAGCCGAGATATACTTGTTTGTTTTCTTGATTGCGTGTGGCTGCCATGCGCTAGTAGCAAATGGTTTATCAGGGTCGGCTCGAGCTTGAGTTTTGGCATTAGGAGCCAGTTGCGCCCCTTGAGTTTGGGGCGACAATAAGTGCCCAGCTGGACAAGTTACTATTTACACTATATCAAACTGATCTTTAGCGGCAATTAATTAACGGCAAAAGCTCAATTGCCGCTAAATATATATTTTTAGCGGCAATTAACACTCTTTGTATATGTCCCTAAAACCTTTAGCAATATTGGATCTAATGACACTTAACTTATACCGGTAAAGACTTTAGCACTCTTTATCAATGTGTCTATTTATTGCCGCTAAAAGTTGTTTTTGTTGTAGTGTTATAATGATGTAGTTTTTATGATGTCCACATAGACACCTATATATCTTTAAAATACATTATTAAATAGTGAATGGGGTAATAGGTCTTGCCCAAAGTTTGGAATTGTTATAACAATTTCGATCAAAGTTAAGATATATTTCGAACCAATTTCCCTAAATTCTATTTACCTAATTAAAGTTTATACTTTATAGATCATAAGATATGTATGTATATAATTTACTTTTTTAATTTTATTTTTACCTCTCAGCTCCCACCTTTTGTTTTCTTGATGACTCAAACTCAGTTAAGATTAAAAATGATGGTGCTTACCATCCGAACAATTCTCTCTGGTCAGATTATAAGATATTCTCTTCATAATTCAAAATAAATATAGCTATATATCATGATAAAAGGGTAATAAACGATTATAGATAGAAAACGACGAAGTTTTTGTCTGATTGTAGGGAGAAAAAGGGAAAAGAAAAAAAAGAAAAATATCATTAGATTTGTCAAAAATTAAACCAAATCAAACAAAATCTACACTAATAACTAAACTGATAATTATAGTATATTCAATTTTAATAATTGAAAAATAAATTAAATTAATTTAAATTTAATAAAATATCAATCCAAATTGAATGAGGAACTCAGAATGACCATACATCTTTGGCTGTCTTATAATTCTACAATTTGACATTTTATTTGCCCTAACTAAACCCTACCATCCACCCTATTCTCACTTACTTCATCATTTTCCTACTGAAAATAAAGTACCAACACCACTTAAATTTGTCTCCTCTTATAGTCTTATATATATTTTTTGAGATCGATTAATTTGAATTCACATAAAAAAAAATAATGGGTAGTTTTAAAATTGAGTGGTCTTCATTAAATTTTTTATCTTGCTTGTCTCATAAACAAATACTTAAGTATCAAACATCAAAATTTTGACAAAATTTACATGTGTGATGAATAATTTGAGACAGATTAAATCATATACATCTAACATCATGTATAGTATAAGCTAGATGTCATTTTCTATGTGTCTATTTTGTTACCATGCTTTTCTCCCCAAAATTAGGCTTTTTCATATACTCTCTTTAGCAATTTTTATTTTGTCCTTTTCGATAGTCATTGGTAACTTATCAATTGACAAATTATAGGAATTTTTTTTTCTAAATACACATTTTATTTTATCATAATTTCTAAAAAAAAAATCATTTTAAAAAAATTCAAAAATTTCCTCTCAGACACATCACTCCCCTCTTGCTCATACATCCTTATCCCCTCTCGGATACATCACTCCCCTCTCCGCTACATCCCTCCCTTATATATTCAGATGGCCTATCCCCTCTCAGATGCATACCTCCCCTCTCAGATACATTCCTTCCCTATGTATCCGGATGTCTACTGATGTATCCGGAAGTCCAGT